CTGGGACCTAGCAAAGTCACGGAAAAGGAGGCTATTCTCGCTGCCAGCATCAGCTCCTGAGCCATGGGGACCGACAGACATCTTGTAGCCAGCTCGATCACATCCGGATACCGCATTGAAGTCGGCCAAAACAATACGAATATCTCGCCGAGGACAACTGTCTGCCACAGATGCAAGTTTGGCGTAGAACATCTCTTTCATCTCAAGTTTATATACATCTGTAGGAGCGTACACAGCAATAAGAGACATGAAGCCAAATGACAGCTTCAGTCTCAATACCATTATACGCTCATCGACTGGAGTGACCTCTACTACCGAGGGTTGAAGTCGGCTGGAGATGGCTATGGCTACTCCCTGGAGATGGTGGCCATCGCTGCGGCCCGACCAGTAGTAAGTGTAGCCACCCACACTAATCGTGCCGCTGCCAGGTCTTCTCACCTCCGAGAGAGCAACCACCTCAACTCTCAGCCGCTTCAATTCCCTCGACAGTAGTGGTAACCGATCAACCTGTCGCAGGGAATGGACGTTCCAAGCCCCCATCCTGACAGCCCGCCTGAGGTTTAACCTCTGGCAGTCACTCCGGGTGGGCGCCACCTCTGCCACCCCCACCGACGCCGCCCCATATAGAGGTTGGCTGGCTGCAGGTCCCCTAATCCACCTGCAGGGCTCCCGGGGGCTTTCCCCCACAAGCATCACGCCAGGCTGGCGGCCGCTGGGACCCAGAGGGGATGAAGGGTAACCCCCCCTCCCCGCCTGAGTCCCAGCGGCCGCCAACCCAGAGGGACCCACAGCCTGCCGTTCTTGCTGGGTGGGAGGGGCTTTAGCCCTCCCCCCAGCACCAACTTCTTTATGATTCGTTACCAGTTTGGTTGTCTCGGAGGGGCAGACTGGCAAGGCCTGCCCCCCAACAGCCGCCCCTTAACCCCGGGGGGCACGGGGGCAGGAGTTGGTACGAAGCCAGGGCGTGTCCACACGCCGGTGGGCCATGACTCCATACCTTTAGAGCCTCCTGCTGCTCCAAGAGCCTCCACAGTTCAGCCTAGGACCGCAAGGTACCTAGTTTCCATGGGTGGCCACGAGGAGGCACTGCAGAAGTCTTGATGATGGAGAGGCTATGAGCTGGCAGGGGAGTCTTATGCAAAGCTGCTCCCTTTTCGCACCAGGCTAGCCAGCGGTGGCAGCTGCAAGCGAGAAGGCATGCAAGCTCTTGACACTACTTAGGCTACCACACCATCGCTTCACATCACCCACGAGCATGAAGCACCCATATATATATATATATATCTATATATATATATATATATATATATGCATGTATATATATATATATATATATATATATATATATATATATATATATATATGTGTATATATATATGCATGTGTATATTATATATATATATATATAAGATGATAACTAATATATAATATATATCTATATAGACATAGAGATAGAGAGATGGAGAGAAGATCGAGAGAAGAGAAAGAGAGATGAGAGATATACAGAGACTATATAAGAGATAATTATATATAGAGAGCCAGATACAGAAGAGAGAGATATAAGAGAGAGATAGAGATAGATAGACAGAGAGAGAGATATATTATAGATATAAGGATATAGCGAGAAATTAGAATATATATAGAGAGAGATATAGTATAGATATGATCGGGATAGATATAGAGAGATAGATAGAGATATAGATAGAGTAGACAGTAGAGATATAGCTAGATAGATAGATATATAAGAGTAGACGATATAGAGATACATGCGAAGAGATAGAGAGAGAGGAGAGGATAGAGACAGATAGACAGTAGATAGATATATATATACATATAGCATAAATAGATAGATAGACATATAACAGAGAGAGAGATAGATATAGATATAGATAGTCGACATATATATATATATATAGGAATATAGAAGGAGAGAAAGAGAGACGATATAGATAGATATAGATCTAGATTATATGAAGAGAAGACATGAGCAGAGAATAGATAGAGATAGGAGAGATGGGGCTAACATATAGAGATAGAGACGATATTATAATAGGTATATATATATTATAGAGAGACATAGAGAGAGCGAGACAGATAGATAGATTGAGATGAGATAAGAGAGAGATATATAGATACATTATGAGAGATATAGAGGAGAGTAAGATATAGATAGACATAGAGTATATATATATATATAGATAGACAGATATGAACATATGATGATGAGAGATATAGAAGTAGATAGAGATAGATAGATAGAGATATAGATAGAGAACAGAGTAGTAGAGATATAGAATATATAGAGATATATATATACATAGGTATAGAGAGAGTGAGAGCGATCAAGAGAGAGAGAGATAGATGTATACAGAAAAGATAGAGATATTATAGAAAAGAGTAGGATATATGAGTAGACGAGAGATATAGATACATAGATATAGATATAGAGTATTGCTTATAGTATAGATATAGAGAGATATATAGAGAGACATATGATACGAGAG